GATGGGGACACCAGGACGTGGACATAGGGATGGAGATACTGGGATCGGGACACCTGGATGGGGACACCAGGATGGAGATACTGGGATGGGGAGACCAAGATGGGGACACCAGGACGTGGACATAGGGATGGAGATACTGGGATGAGGACACCAGGATGGGGACACCAGGATGGGGACACTGGGATGAGGAGACCGGGATGGGGAGACCAAGATGGGGACACCAGGACGTGGACATAGGGATGGACATACTGGGATGGGGACACCTGGATGGGGACACTGGGATGGAGATACTGGGAAGGAGACTCCAGGATGGGGGCACCAGGATGGAGACACCAAGATGGGGACACTGATATGGGGACACTGGGATGGAGACATTGGGATGGGGACACCAGGATGAGGAGACCAGGATGGAGACACCAGGATGGGGACACTGGGATGAGGAGACCAAGATGGGGACACCAGGATGAGGAGACCAGGATGGAGACACTGGGATGGGGACACCAGGATGGGGACACTGGGACAGAGACATTGAGATGGAGACACCAGGATGAAGAGACCAGGATGGAGACACCAGGATGGGGACACCGGGATGGGGACACTGGGATGGAGATACTGGGATGGGGACACCAGGATGGAGACACCAGGACGTGGACATAGGGATGGAGATACTGGGATGGGGATACCTGGATGGGGACACCAAGAGGGAGACACTGGGATGAGGAGACCAGGATGGAGACACCAGGATGGGGACACCAGGACGTGGACATAGGGATGGAGACACTGGGATGGGGGCACCAGGATGGGGACACTGGGATGGAGACACCAAGATGGGAACACTGAGATGGGGACACTGGGACGGAGACATTGGGATGGGGACACTGGGATGAGGAGACCAGGATGGGGACACTGGGATGGGGACACCAGGATGGAGACATTGGGATGGGGACACCAGGATGGGGACATCAAGATGGGGACACTGGGATGGAGATACTGGGATGGGGACACCAGGATGGGGACACTGGGATGGAGATACTGGGATGGGGACACCGGGATGGGGACACTGGGATGGAGATACTGGGATGGAGAGACCAGGATGGGGACACTGGGATGGGGACACCAAGATGAGGACACCAAGATGGGGACATCAAGATGGGGACAACTTTTGGGGTGCCCCCCCCCCGCAGGACACCGCCATTGCCCCCCCCCGAGGGTTGGGGACCGGAGCGGAGTCGGGGACCAGCATCTGCAC